TGCTAGAACGTTGGACGGTAGTAGCGTGTTTTATTTACCATAGTACTTGGATATTTGCTTAGAACCTTGAGTTTCGTAGTAGCATAGCCCTCGAAATATCCTTGAACTTCTCTACTACAATATTTACGGACAACATTTGTGTTAAGAAGGAGGAATGGATTGAAGGAAAAATCGGATAAATAAAATTAAATAAAATTAAAAAAAAAACACAGAAAAATATAGAAAGTGAAAGAAAGAAAGAAAGAGAGAGAGAGAGAGAGAGAGAGAAGCTGTTATAACGAAGAATACGAAGAAGAAGAAGAAGAGAAATGGATAAGGGTAAAGAAATAGAAATACGTAGAGTACGTGAGAGTGTAAAAGAACTTTAGAGTCTTGGGACAAAATTAATAAGAGAAATGAGATACGTAATATGAAAATAAGAGAGAGATAGAAAGAATGAAAGAAAGAGGAAAGGGAAGAAGAGGTCGGACATTAGGATGCACTTGTAGTAACGATACTCGGTGGTCGTCTCGGCGCAAGCTCATCTCTGAAGTAACCTATGTGAGCGTGCATTAATCCGATGACTATCTAAATGAATCATAATTAATATCGTGGCCCATTAGCCATGAGAGAGAGAGAGAGAGAGAGAGAGAGTATATACCGGCGGGCCCATGAGTAATGCGCATGGGCTTTCCGACCGTTGGTATATGTATGTATGTATGTATATATGTGTGTATGTATACGTTGTATCGTTAAGTCGTGCAACGTTTAATTGCTTAACGTTTTGTCGATAACTCGAAGCTCTTTAGCTCATTCCTTTACCCGACACTTAACAACTATTATCGATTATTTCTACTAGGAAAACTGACTTTACCTTGGAAATGTGTATGAGTTATTTTCATTTTTTTTTTCGTAAACTTAAAAAATAATCGCGTTATTCGAGTTGTTCGTTTGAAGAAGAAAATAGAAAAAAAAGAAATTATTATTCGTTAATAAGTATATCAACGAAATTGGTCGGTAAAGATATTTCATTTTTCTTCTTTGCCCTCTTTCGTTTATGCCTTTTTTTTTTTCTATAGTTCTGCGATAAAACAACGTAAGAACATACTTTACTTTTTAGATCCCAACGCTATGAATTCTCTCTCTCTCTCTTTCTCTTTCTCTTTCTCATCTCTATGAATCTGTCGAGCAATTTTCACGAAGAGGCGAGAAACGCGACGGGATTCCGAGGCAGCTGCAGGACTTATGCACTGTGAAATGCATAATGCGCCTTCCGTACGCGGGACGTCTAGGATGTGCGAAACGAATTCTCCTCCGTCGGTGAACTGCTGCTGTTACTGCTGTTACTGCTGTTACTGCTGTTGCTGTTACTCGAGCTTAGTAGCGCGCTATCATTGAGGTCGCGAGCGAATTAAAAGAAAGAAACGCGCCGTGTCTCCGCGTTCCCATCTAAACTGTATAGAGAAAATGATGATGGTAATAGATGGTACGTGGTTTATGTTTAATATTATATATATAAATATTTTAAAAATTGGAAACGCGTGCTGTCGTTTATCTCCCAAAGAGAAAAGCAAAGAAAAGAAAAATGAGGTGAAATGATGGTAGTGATGGTGATGGTGATGATGGTGGTGGTTAGCACAAAAATATTTTTGCTCTTCTCGATGGTATGGAACGCGAAGAAGGGGAGGAAGGGGAGGGGGGGGGAATGCAGCAAAACACCACTGTGTCTCGCACGCGGTTTCATCAATATTTTCATTCACAACTTTGTGAACGGAAACGAGCTTTGACCGGCAGTCACGTATGAAAACACGGTGGACACAGTGTGTTCCGAGGTGAAAGGTGGGACTCGATCGAAGAACACCATCGTCGTTCTCGTCTTCGTTATCCTCGTCTCTCTTAGTCTTCGTCCTCGTTGTCGTAGACTGCCAGGTTAAAGGATGGTGGCAGGTGTCAAGGCGGTCGATTGATCATTCTCGAAGAAACTCCGATAGGATATATACTCAACCTATGATTGTAACCGAAATACAAAAGTATGATAAACATAAGGATAACAAAAATAGATGAAATTAAATGACAGGAGAGTTAAAAAAAAATATATATATATAGTATTTTTAAAAGAAAACGTTTCAATGTTATGTTTATCGTGAGATTTTCTGTATATATACAATAACTGAGAATTAAGATATTATTTAGAAAATGAAAAACAAAAAATAATAATAATAATAATAATAATAAAAGAAGATTAGAAAGAGGATAACTCGAGGAAGTAAGACTCAGTGGGTCCTCTCGACAGTGTACGCATTTCAAACATCTGCTCGCAAGAAGAGAAGATATCTTTGCAGATTTTCTTCTCGCTGACGAGATCGCGTACGTCTACAAAGCGATATCGCGCATGTAAGTACACACACGTCTACACGGTCGTATATATTACGCCGCAACATAAATCATAAGTACCAGTAGCCGAGGTATGCGTTCGATCTTCGTCCCTCTACTTCTATTTCTCTACCGCAACGATCTTTCTTTCTTTCTTTCTTTATCTCTTTCTCTCTCTCTCTCTCTATCTTTTTATAAATCTATAGACTGACACACCGGTACACGTCCCGTATCCGTCGAATCCGTTCGAGTTGTTAAATTATTAAGAAACGTTACGAGATTTATAGAGTTCCTCGATTACTCTTAGAACTATGTAATTCTTACGATATTAACCATCTTACAAAAGATTGACAAGTATAAATTAATAGTCAGCTTCTGTTATCATTGCAGACAAAAAGAAAAGAGATAGAAAAAAGGAATAAAAAAAAAAAAAAAAAGTCATGTATAGGTACATTTACGTTTACACGTGAGTTCTCATTGATCGTTTGTTTGTTCGTTTGTTTTTTTTTTCTTATTTAACTCGCAATAATAAATATTATTATCTTCGTATACGAGTGTAATAACATGAAATTAAATTTAAGTGGTGTTAACAAAAAAAAAAGGACTAAAGAAAACCCCCCCCCCCCAGAGAATTTTTTTTTATAAAGCAACAACAAGCGTAACTCGTAAGTAATAAGATACATTCAAGTATTATTCGGTTAAAACTTGCCGTTCCAATCTTATTTCTATTTATTTATTTATTTATTTATTTATTTATTTATTTATCATTTTGTTGTTCTTCTTTTTCTTTTATTTGATATAATCAGGCCGCGAAGGTAAAAAGCCATTAGAAACGCTGTAGGACAAATCGAATAAGTTGGCGGCGTGGAACAAACGTGTCTTCTTCTCTCTTCCCGTCCTACATTTCGCGGCCTACACAGAAAGAAGACGGAGACGAGACGAAACATTGCGGCAGATGCGCTGACAAGCGAGAATCGCCTTAAAGGCGTCGCGCTCGACAGATTGCACCGAAGACGACGACGACGACGACGACGACGACTGATTGATGCACCCGTACAACAGCGATCCAATAACGACCGGTGTGCACCGAGAAAGAGAGAAGAAGCAAGCAAGCAAGCAAGCAAGCAAAGTAACCCAGCATAGCTTCTTCCCTATTCATCTTCTTCTTCTTCTTGCACTTCTTCTCGCATTAGCGACAATACCTGAGTGCATTAAGTACCGTCGGCCACGTTCATGGACCCCGAACAAGTACTGACCGTTTCTCTTTTCTGTTTTTTTTTCTTTTTTTTTTTTTTTCTAAAACCGCCAATTCTCTATACCTCCTTTAAGAATCGCATCGTAAACTCTTATCGTGGATCTTCTTCTTCTTCTTCTTCTTCTTCTTCTTCTTCTTCTTCTTCTTCTTCTTCTTCTTCTTCTTGCTAACAGATTATTTCCACTTTGTCGGTCAGATTGTAAGATCAATTAAATCTTCTTTACGTTATCCTCCATCACACTCTCCTTTTGTTTTTAACGTTTAACGCGTTTCTAAATATTTTTCTCTAAATCGTATTTCTTTATTGTGATTTTTATTCTCACGAATAGAAAAGAAATTTAGTATAACTTAAATATGTGTATCATAATTTATCAAACTTTTATTCTATCCTCGGCGACAAAAATCGGGATCATATTTCTTCGTAACGGGCGACGTAAAAATCGTGATTGACGTACCTCCTGAAGGATAATAATAATAAGAAGAAGAAGAAGGAGGAAAAGAAAAAAGAAGTTAAAAAAAAGGGAAAAGAAGGGGGAAAGTGGGGATATACTTGGAATACATATATTATAAAAAGATGTATGTATATGTACGCACACAGTTTAGTATCACTATTAATATCCTTTACCTTAACGTGTTCCCTTCCATCGTGCGACCAACGCCTACACGATCAGCCAGCGGGGTTTCTACCGTCGTAGAAATCCATGCGTCTTATCTGCTTGACATTTGACAGGTACGATGGCCTTAGATTCCTTACCAGGCATATAATCGCTGGATGTATCATCGTTCGACAATAATACCATGCCGAACGTGACACGCTTTTCGCTTATGTTAGTAAAATTTCACAAACATCTAACGATGCCTAGAGTAACGTGTATTATATACACATGTTCAATTTCTATTTTACTGCGATAAATGTGTGTATGATATACCAAAGAGTTGTAAATTAAAATAAATAGGCCGTTAATATATATGAAAAAGTATTATTAGTTTTATTTTTACGAGTAACAAATTGTAAACAAAACAAAAAAGAAAATAAGAATTTCTTACTACTTTTAACCATAGTGTTAATAAGACGGCCCCGAAATTTGCACGTATCAACTATTTTCTGCTATCACCGTTTAAATTTTACACATCTACTATTTAACGGAAAATAAACGTTAATTATTGACCGATAAACGTACCGATTAACTAGGCTTTTGAACGACTTACTAAAGGAAAGAGTTTCTAGTTTTTTGTATTACAAGCAACGGTGGTGTGCATACATTGCACGTATATAACTAACGAACGCGAAGTATTATTATTATAATAAATAAATAAATAAATAATTGAGTGAATTAATAAGAATTAATAATATATTTTGTAAATTTTAACAATATACAATTTGTTTTATCAGGGCCGCATGCCATTCGTGCGTGCAATGAGCATGGAGCAACGGTGGCAGGATTTGGCATCATTATTATCACTTCCCGGTGCTCCAGAACATTTTGCGCATCCATCGCATCCTGGATATCATCCCGGACACACTATAAGTCATAGTCATTACGAGGCACAACGTAATGTTTTGCTTCACAATGCCACTTTGGCACCACCGGTTGGTGATCTTAACTCGACAGGTCCCTACCACAATGTAGGTGAGTATTAAAAAAGAGATGATGTCCAAATCCTTAAGGAATATCTATAAATAAGATGATACGTTTTAGATTATTTCTTTATCTGAACTAAACTGCTCACTGTTCTAGGTGGTTCGTCGAATCTTGGATCAGCAGTTGCAACTTCAATGAATTTAACGAACAGTAGTGAACCAATGGGAGCAGAAAGTAATGCTGCTTATAAATCAGAACCTACTGACATAATGTATTATCATGCACCAACGTCAGACACGATAAACCAAACCACCGATGGTTTTCTTTCGTCTCTTCTCAATGACGAAGATTTACATCTAATGGATATGGCAATGAACGACGGTAAGTAGAACAGATTATGGGCATTTTTAACAAATATTTTTATTTGTAACAAATTTTATTTTTATTATTATTAATAATATTAATATTATGATATGATCATCATCAGCACCATCATCATCGTCATCATCATCATCATTATCATCATCATCATCTATATTCTACGCATATATCTGTCATACTAGGAAGTATAGAATTAAAGGAAAATTTTCTTTTTTAAAACGATGAATTTTTTTTTTTTTTTTGATCTATTTTATATTAACTTTATTATAAAAAGAAACGTATAAAAACTATATAAAAAGGTAACGCAATTTCACTTAAAACAAAACTATCGTTCTTACATTAAGTTTCTTTTTTTTTTTTTTTTCCTAAATAACCATCGTATCTTAAATCTAACATTTGTACGATAATTACAATGGTAATAGTAGTATATCCCATTTGACAAGATATTTTTTTGTTTTTTTTGGAATGCATGTATCTCGCTTTCTTTTATCGATCATTATTTAAAATAATTGACAAAATAAGAAAATAAATGATATATCACGGACTTGCTTATCTCAAATTCTTAAATCTCTTCATTGTTAAAGAGTCTATCTAATAATACTCATTATGTTACTTAAAGGAACTTAAGTGACAGTCGTTCAATTACCATTGAAATAATATTTATTAATATTAATGATATAACGTAAAAAAAATTAAAACAAAAAGTCATGTGATTTTACGAAAATAAAATTCATAATTTTAGAAAATTTTCTTAAATAATAGTTAATGCGCAATCCATAAAGCTAAGTTTTTTTGTTCTTTTTTTTTTTTTCTCAAAGAACCTACCCTTATACAAATTGCTTTGGTCAAATTAGTTTGGCCTTCCTTAAAGTATAACAGTCTTTTTTACCATGTTTCCTCTGGCTCTACAGGATTATAAGCTGACTCATTGTATGGCACTCCGCCATCCTCGTCTGCAAACTGTAATTAATATGATGGTACAATTAATGAAAAAGTCATATAATTGTTATTATATATATAATTTAAAAAAAAAAAAAGCAATGTATACAATGATTTTACTTACATTACGAATATCTTCTCCACCAAATCTGGACATACCAGGTGCAAAAGATCTATTGTCATTTGCACTCAACAACCAATCGGGTATCGGTTGATCTGCTTGCTTCAAAATTTTGATCAGATCAGGGATCAATGGAGAGTCAATTTCTGGATCAAAGAATGATGTTGCCTTTCCACGATTACCCACACGACCAGTGCGACCAATTCTATGAACGTATTCATCGATTCCCTTTGGCATATCATAATTTATAACGTGAGAAACATTTCGTATATCTAAACCACGTGCCGCAACTGCTGTAGCAACTAATACAGACATTCGGCCATTGCGAAAATCTCGCAAGGCCTCTTCCCTTTCACGTTGCAATCTATCCCCGTGAATACTCGTTGTAGGAAAATTGTTTTCTGATAAGAAAGCTGCGATAAAATCAGCTGTTCGTTTCATTTCAACGAAAACCAAAGTACCCTTTTGTCTACCATTTGAAATCTCTTTATCCATAAGTTCCTTCAACATTCCTCTTTTTTTATATTTCGTAACTTCATAGAAATTTTGTTCTACATCAGAACACGCGCCACCTATTATACCTACTGCTAAGAATAGATAATCATTTAAAAATCGTGAAGCCAATAGTTGCACCTCGTCTGGAAATGTGGCTGAAAACATAAGCGTTTGCCTTTGTCCCGCAACAACCATAGTTTCGTTATCAACTATTTTTTCAATATCAGGTAAGAAACCCATATCCAGCATACGGTCAGCTTCATCCAAAACAAGAAAACGTACAGATGACAGTGTAATACGTTTTCTTTGGATAAAATCTAGTAATCTTCCTGGTGTAGCAACTATGATATCACAACCAGCATTTATTCTGTTTCCTTGATGCATAACCGAAGTACCACCATATGCAATGACGCTTCTTAAAATTGTACCGGCTGAGAATTTCAAAACTTGTTCATAAATTTGTATGGTTAATTCTCGCGTCGGTGATATTATAATAACTTGTGGTGCACAACAACTTGAACCTAAACTTTCTCTGGGTGATTCCAAAAGAGTATTTACAATTGGAACTACAAAGGCTGCAGTTTTTCCTGAACCTGTTTGTGCACAGGCCATCAAATCTCGACCGTTCATTATAATAGGCAATGCATATTTCTGCACAGGTGTTGGTTTAACGTACTTCGATTTTTTAATATTACTTAAAACATATGGTCGTAGTCCAGCTTGGTCAAAAGATTCTATATGTGGCGGTACATTTTCTCCACTTACGCATACCTCAATGTCATCATACTTTTCAAAGTTAATCCCTTGTTGAACACCATTTCCAAATAAAGATTTCTCATCTGTATCTATATCAGGCGGTATGTAAAATTCTACCCTTGGTTTTTCTTGGCCATCCCCATCTTCATTATTAGAAACATTTCTATTTCTACCTCTACCACCACCACCACCACCACCACCACCGCCACCACCACCACCATTTCCTCTGTTACGATTACTATCTCTGTCATCTCCTCTATCATTATCCATATTTCTGTTATTTCTACCACCTCCTCTTCTCTCTTTGTTATATCTATTATCATTGGTGTCATTTTCATCATTATCGAAAGAATCCTCTTCGTTACTATTTCCATAACAGCTGTCTTCTTTATTATCATCATTTCTGTATCCTCCATTAGAACCTTTTCTATATCTACCACCAACACCACCACCATTTCGACCATTACCATTTCGACCATTACCATTTCTTACATTATCAAAATTGGAAGTCTTGTTATCGTATCCATAATTATCATTGAATGAATTATTGCCATTAGGCATTATAAAACCACGTCCTCTTCCATAACTTCGACCACCATCAGACTCGTACTATTAAAGAATAAATTTATTAATTAATATGTAATACACACACACACATTGTATGTACATTTATTACAGTTTTAATATTAATCTAAGATAAAATCTACTAACCGTCGTCATGTTTACAGGTTCTTGATAGCTAGTATTATTATCCCAATCATCAACCATTTTATTATCTAAAAAAATCAATAATCAATAATTAATAATTAATATAAATATAAATATATACAAATATATTAATATAATATAAGGTTTATCTATCTATATATATATAAATTTCAAATTTTAAAATAAGTAATAAGAAAAGATAAACATACAAATTCCTAAACGTGGAATAAATAATATAAAGTAAGACTGATTTTTTTTTTTTTTTAAATATCTAATGGCAACCTTCTTGGCAACAAAGAAAGAAGTAAAAATTAAAGATCAACTTATGTTAGATGAAAAAATAATAGGGGGGGAAGAAAAAAACAACAAAAAAAACCTAAACAATAGTAGAAGAAGGAAAACAAAGACGTCCTTCACTAATATACTTGTGATTATCAAAATTATTTGAAATAAGTCTTCCTCTTAAGTAATTCCATCAGTTAGACTAAGGTTATAATTACCTTATGTAAAAATTGATGCTTATCGATTCAAATGAATAATATTAAACTTCTGCTTTCTAAATCTGTAATAAATACAAAAGTATAAAAGTTAGAAGAATTAGAATTTCGCGATGATGAGATATTGCAGATAGAAAAGTTTTCAACGACGCAGTCGCATTGTTCGTCTTTGTTGCCTCGTTGATAATGGTAATCGATCGATCCGCGTTAACACTGAATTTATGAAGTATATTTTATGAGTAATAATGAAACCATTTAAAATGATTAAAATGAATTATTCAAACGTGTGTTTTAATATTACAGGAGATAAAGCCTCCTGCGTATATAAACCGGTAACAATGGCAGAATTTAACGTCATATATATAATTACATTTTACGATACTTACATTTTGAAGTATTCAAATAATAAATGTACTGTTAAACGATGAACAATGAAATATTTATTATAATTAGAACAATCTAATCGAATAAACGTAGAACTATTCTGAAAATACTCTTTAGCGGTTGAACACTCACTAATTTGATGCCTCTCTTACATCTAACAAATTGAAATGTGTAGATAGCGCCACGATTCTCAACTAAACTCGAGGTGAACGCTCGTTCGACCAATCACCGTTCAGTATTCTCACGCGAGAACTTTAATGCGCATGCGTATTACCCGTTAGACTTTCATTCGTTTCACAGTCATGTAACTACCCGCATGAGAACCCTTACGTATAGAAATTTATTTTTTTTTTAATTTAATAATTATTTTGTTATATCTATAATAACGTTATTTTTGTAAACATCAATTGAACTCTTGTTGTTCCTTAACAATGATATATATATACATATATATCAATTCTTGGCCGTTGAGAGAGATTCAAATTTTGAAATAATAAATATAATAGAAGAAGTAATGAAATATAGAAGAAAGATATCAGATTTCATGTTGACATCTTTCGATTCTGATATCACATGAGTTTCTTTTTTCTTTTTTTTTTTAATCTTATTTTTTATCTCGCTTTTTTTTACTAATATTATAGTTGAGCATATATTGTTGTATTCATTCGTTTAGCTTAGAAAATTGAATTAATCGAATTTTCTTGTTTGTTAGATAATTTATCAGATATTCTTCGCGTTTAATAAACTTGCAAATATAATTTTAGTATAACTTTCTTAACTTGTTTTTAATATTACGCTTAAAGACACGTCATTCCTCGTGCAAATATATAATACGTATTTATAAGAAGGTATATTCGAGCAATGTTAATTTAAAGGATGCAAAAATAATTAATGCATAGTTTAATATTGTCATAAAAAATTTTCTAGATACCGAGTTGTATATTTCGAAGTAATAAACGTCAATAAATGCTTTTCCATATTATATACAGCTTTTGCAACGTAACATTTGATAATAATCTGTATGTGCTAAGTCATTCCGTACTTTTATATGCGCACGTAATTTTACGAGTTGTTTTTGGTTTTTTGTTCTTTTTTGGTTTTTTTTTTTTTTTTTCGTGAAATATTAATAGGTTGATAAGAAAGAAAACTATCGAGATATTATACAAAATTCAAAACATAAATTTGCAAATTTAATTGCAAATTTAATGAGCCTATAGCAAGCAGATTACATTAAATTAGATAATACGTGCATTTATTAAAAATAAATAAAGGAAGTTACTTGTCTTACCGCAGAAATATATCTTATCTCTGAGGTTATGCCATATACGCGCGAAAAAAAAAACGATATATACTGCATTTATTTATGCATCTAACAAAAAGTTATTTAACATTAAATTAATTAAAAAAAAAAAAATTCTTTTAATTTCTGAATCGTAAAACTTGTCAAGTTGGTAATATTTATAATTTATTTTCTACGCTATTTTAACACGTTCGTCGCCATGACACCGTATACATATACCGGTGACGGGCATGCTTCTCCGGGGCCCCCGGGGGGCCCTTCTTGTTATAGTATTTATAGTTGGAAAAACTTATCACATTTTCCATTTTGAAAGAAAATTATTTTCGATAAATAAACGATAGTATTATATTTTATTATTTTTGGTAAATAAAATATAATAATATAATATAATCATAATACTCGGATCGCATTGTTGATATTTCTACTTATCGCTTCTTCTTTACGTTATGGCGCGCCGACAGTCGAATTTTTGGGCCTGGCGAGAAACTCAACCGAAACGGGCTGGACGACGAACGTGTTAAAGAAATTCTATGAAATAGTATATACTTTTGAAGGATTTGAATAATCTATGTTTACATAAACCGATACGATTAGTTTTCAAACCATACCGAATTTTTCTTTCTTTATTACTATTTCTTTGTATTTACAAAAAAACAAAAAGAAATATAGAAAGCTGATAAAAAAATTCTTCATTGGGATACAACATGGTAGGTCGACAGAACTAGACCCTATACAAGTACATTTTTACGACCACTTGTTTAGTTCTTAAGACCTTTCTCAAGTATTATATCATTGTAAAAGTTTCGGTGCTAAAGAGTCTTCATTGAAAACTCTCGAAGAGACAATAAATGAACAGAGAAAATAGTTCATTTTCTAAAATAAAGTCGTCTTTTTTTCACTATCCAATATTTTAACAGCGCCACTTATTCTGTGTTTGACGACTATATCCGTCATCGCTTGATTATCGCGACACACACCCCGCAGTGCACTCTGCGCACAGATCGTCGCCATACTTTTTTAACTGGTTACTTAAAAAGAAACTGAAGAAAAATATATTAACGATTAGGCATGACGTTTATAAAACAGACAGAGGAAAATAAAAAGATGAACATCGATGATGATATAATAACGTTGTTGAAAGTTAGAGCAGCAGGCTCGAGTAGACGACCATTGTTGTTATGGTTGTCTCGCAACGATTGCAGTTCTCTTATCAGTCGGCTCAACTCGTACTAAGAAATTCGTAATGATCTACAGAGAGACGAAGAAGAGAATATGTGTCCGTTTGCACGATCTTCTTCTATCTTGATGCGTATATATATATATATTGATGCTGATACGAATGTGTTTAAGCTTGTGTAGGTAAGTCGCTGAGTGAGATGAATAAAGAGAAGAAAAGAGGAAGAAGAAAAGCTTAGTTTCGCCACGGCCGTGGATAAGAACGATGGATCGGTTTTCATTAAACGTTTTATCGAACGAATTTTTCCTTTAACTTAGGTTGAGGTGTTTTTACAAGATCTCCTTGAAATTTGAAACTTTTCTTTGTTTGGCAACGTAAACAACAACGGTGGATGTTATGTAAAACAGATGATCAGGTATTTCTAAGAACAAAAATGAACACAACTGGAAAAAAATATGTATGTAGGTAGTTGTTGTTCATACATACGCGAGATTATTTTTTTTAAACTCCATTCTACTTTACATTTGTTTGTCCCCGTAGACATTTGGTAAATTATTATATAAATGAAAAAAAGAAAAAAAAATCTCACGTGGATGACTTATCCAATGAAATAACGTCGCTGTTTTTTAATTTATTTTTTGACTAGGTTTCCTGAGTGGATTTTTTTTTTTTTTTCTTTTGAGCCTTCTATAGGGATGTGTATACACGAGTAAATTCGAAAGCATATTTCTTTTTAAAGGAGAGAGTCGTCTCAATAAAGGGGGGACCTTGACAATTTCTCAATAGTTTCAATTTCTTTTGTAAACTATTATTGTCTCTTCTATTATATATATATATCTCCACAAATAATTCATTCCTCTATCTCTCGAACAAATCTCGAGAGGAAGATTTTTTTTTTCGAGTGTAGTAAACTTTTTTGTTTTTTTTTGTTTTTTTTTTCAAAAATAGAAAAAGGGGATTCTTCTTTATCTTTTCATCGGTGATATTGAATAATAATAAACAGAAGTATTTTTATCGGCTTAGGAAAGTTTATTCGTACGTTACCACTTGAAACTTATATTTATTTACACACGTATACATGGATATATATATATATATATATATATTGATGTGAGTATCATGTTCACGCGCGTTAGGACTACACGACGATCACACACCATAATGAACATCACGAATTGTGTGAGAAAAATGACTAATAATATGAATAAAAACCAAATGTGTCAAGTTGATTATTTGAAATATGAAATCTGCTATTTTCATCGTCTAAAATCGATTATTTAAATTAGGTGAATAGAAAAAAAATGTGTATCTACTTTTAATCTAACAAACGTATTCACATATTTATATATTGGGTAATATATATGGGTATAATAATAATAATTGTTAATTCTAGATCCGTCATAAAGAAATTTGATCGCACACATATGACTTTGATTAACGATGCAGTTAAAACAACAACAACAACAACACAACAACAACAACAATAATACAACGGTGAAGGTGATCGTGAATATTCATAACACGTGTGACAATGATTCAACGATTTTTCGTTTTCATTTAGTATTGCTTTAGGACTTTAACCGATCAAATCGTTTCTTTCATTTATTCTTTTCGATTTTTTTGTTTTGTTTTGTTTTACTTATTCTCTTGTATCATATTTTTTCATATACATATATATATATATATATATATATATATATATCAGATTATCTGAAAATTTTCTCGATATTTTTTTTTTTTTTTTTTTTTTTTTTGAAGTAATCTTTACACGAAAAATATTTGTTCTTTTTTATATTACGAATATTTTGTTCAATTTTACACGATCTATTTTGCTTCATTCAAATAACGTACAATAATATAAATATAAATATATATATATATAAAAATAAATATTTTTTTTGGAACAACCTAATAAATATATATATATATATATATATATATATATTCGCGTTATTAGTGTTGTTAGTAGTAGTGCGGTATAATAAGGAAGAATAAAAAAAAAAAAAAGTTGAAAAAAAAAAATCAGTGAAATTAAGAAAGAGACAAATAAATGATCACATTGATTCATCTTATCTCATTTCGTATCATCTTATGGGACTTGAAATTTCAAAGGCTTTCGACTATAGCTATGGTAAGCTCTGAGTTATCGATGACGTTTTTAGTGGTCTTTCATTTGTTTTATATGTGAGTGATAAAAAAGGAGATGGTGAGAAAATGAGGTAAAAAAAAACAAAAAAAAAATAAGAGGAGTTGGTGGGGGAGTAAAAAAAAACCATTCAATGAAGAATCGGATTTATTTAACATGATATGTATACGAATGCAATTGAGTGCATTTTGTTGACCGCTAAACAAACAAACAAAAACATCGATCGATCATATATACACGAGCATTAACCATTCAAAGAACGGTCGAGCAAATGTGCGCGCGCATGTGAGCGCGATTAAATCAGTTATTTAATTTCATTGAATAAGTTT